CTCGTTTTAATATTGATTTATTTGTTAGCTTTGGGTCATTGTAAGACCCGACCTCTCAGGTCATGAAGTGCTGTCCTGGCATTCTCCTGCAAAAGTTGAATTAATTTTTCCCTCAATGGTTGTAACGTGGGATTTAAGATCCTGCGTTGCTGTTAGTTTGCGTAGGAGTCCAGTTACACAGAGAGAAGGAATTCAACCTATGCAGAGGCTATGCAAATGCGCTTGCATGCAGTCCTCCAAAAAAACCAACAGTACAGCCCTGTGGCGCCAACACTATGAGTAATGTGTGAATGCTGATTGGACATAAAGCTGGCTTGTTTAAGAAAAGCAGTGACAGTTAACCACAAAATACTGCAATGGATAGTTCTCACTTCAATAAGCTCTAACTCCCCCACGACCCTTAACTGGAACAGTCGGGAAAACAGGTGCGGGGTTTAACCGCACTTTGTCCATCCATTTATTTTCTTATCCGATGAAGGGTGCAGAGGAGCTGGACCCTATCCCAGGTGTCCTAGTCAACATTGGACAGGTCACCAGTCTATTGCAGATCTAGGGGTTTTCCCTTTTTTTTCTATATGTTCTACGATACAGAGGCGAGAATATTGACAGGGGAACAAGAGTAGCTGTCATGCTGGCATTCAGAATAGCCCCAAATCAATACGTCCCTTCTTGCAAAAACCAAAAAATATATAGAAAACCTATCTGATATTAATAAATGAATAATTACTCCTCTGTTCAGAGAATAGGGAAAGGTTTTTTTTTAGGTAACACATTTTTGGAGCAAAAACCTCTACTACCATATAATATCATGTCCTGTTTTACCTAAGGCATAAAAACATAACAGTTAAAAACATAACAATGATTTAATGATTTATTGGCAAGAACATTTTGCAACTTCTAGGATTTAATGCAAAAGCATGTATGACCATTACAACCGTTAAACACTGTAATCACTGCTAAAAAAAATCCTCAAAAGAATGAAAAAAAAAAAAGCTTATTGTAAACTAGTATGTGGATTCAAAGCATTGGTTAGAAACCTTGCGCGTCGGACTTGCACGTTTCCCACACTCACTGAAATGGTAGATCAGGTACTTTTATGAAGTTATGTCCCCCCATAATCCCTCTTATGCTCTATTTTAATCTCAGTTAACTCTCATTTAGGTTAGCCTAAATTAGCTTACAATAGCTCTTTATAGCTTCTCTAGAAATTAGAATAACTTCTGATTTGTTTAATTTTGTTTAAGTACATTGCAGGTGCAGGTCTCTTGTCTGCGTCAAGGCACACTTCGACCTCTGTTCCCTTTTGGCGCTATATATGATCACACCTACGCTGTTTTACCATTTCACTGCTTCAGGATTACTCCATGGTTCTTCAAAGAGCAACACTCTGCAGGAACCTGAGCATCTGTTGGGGGAAACACAGACAGTTCTTGTGATGTTGTCAAGATCCCGCGTCACCGCTGCCACTTGAAAACACACACACAGACATGAAATGTGCAATTTAACAGTTTAAAGTTCCCATAAAAGCTTGATTTGATGGGTCTGAAATCAATTGTAACAGGTCAAAGTTAACCCAGGACAGCTTCAGCGTGCAGATGAAATTGTAGCACATGGATAACAGTATAATTAATATGCACATAAGTGTGCATATTTGAATTTTTGTGTGTTCTGCATCATTAAATTTCAGGCTAAAAGACCCGTATATGAAGGTTAAAGCATGCTCTGCTGCATCTTACTGTCTCTTGCCCCGTGATATAAAATAATCAAAGAGTTTTAATCAGTTTAAACTGAAAGTTTAACTTTAACCTAAATGTGTCACACCATTTACTTGGATTTCTGTGTAATGGCATTAGCTAGTGGATCTGTCAGCAGAGCCATTTGCCTGTCGCAGGAACTTCCTGTGGGTAGTTTTTATGCTTGTGTTACCGTTGGGAGTTTTAAGAAATATCTTAAAAGATAGACATTGTAATGACTACTATATTAAGATACATTACTGATGTTGGTAAAATATTTACTGCCTTTATATATTATTTTAAGAAAGCCTTGGAGAAAAAAGATATTGTTCATGGTAGGTGTCAGTCAAGGGTTCTTTGATGCACAAGCTGTGGACAAAATATTTGATTTTATTAAGTGCTTCAGTATTTAGGGATTTTTAGTGTCTGTCTTCTGGTCTGTCCTTCACTCTGTCTCTGTGAGTGATATTTCTCAATAGCTCCTGTCAGACTGTCAAAAGTATCACTGATAAAGCACACGACATTTCACTCAAGCTTTGCTTTTA